CCTTTTCTTTTTTTCCACCTACTATCTAAACTCTTCTATAATATAATGTAGTTTTTGTTTCGTAAATGTAGCTGTCTGATTTTGCACTTGCTATTGACCAAAACGTTCTTTGGTTTCTAACATTTGTGACGGTATCTTTAAATTTGTATTTCTTGATGTTAGCTAGTGAGTATTTTTAGAGGGAATTTAATTATAAGATATTACAATTTGAGTCCAATTTAAATAAGGCACACTACTTCCAATTCAAAATATTAAAGTAAAGGTCAATTTTATATTTTTAAGTCAATACGAAGATCTAGATTTATATTTAAATTCTCAACAACCTTATAAAAAACATTCTACATCGACACATTCACGTGAAATATGTGTAATAATCTTTATTATTAGTATACATACATTAAGTCAAGACAACTGTTACACGAACAATTATACATCTGTTAGCTTATTTCCTTATAAAACAACATTTGTACAAAGTGCAATATACAATTTTACATTTTCATAAAGTGTTGTTCTAAAAACCTTTCTTTCTCTATGTTGTTTCTCATTCTAACAGAGTGGTATCAGAGCCAGGTCGAGTGAGGACTTGAGGAGCTTCTTGATCACGGTATGGTGCGACTGACCAAAGTGATTAAGGTGGAGAAGGAAGAAGGGTGTCAAGATTCTGTTTCTTGGTCAAAGAAGAGTGTTTGAAGCATGACGGGAAGAGATGTTCCAGCAGCAAACCTTCCAATACTCACATAGAAGAATTGGAATAAATGGAGCACGTAGGTGAGAGTGTTGTTCAGGTTTCAAGATGTAAGTAATGTCGTTGAATGCAATGGACTAGAGCTTGATCTTGGCGCTTCAGAAGATCAGAAAGTTGCAGTCAGGAGGAAACAAAATCAATAAGGTGAAGCTCCAAACCTTGAGGAGACAGTACGAGTTACTGTAGATGGAAGATAGTGATAAAGTTGGTGAGTATTTTAACAAAATACTGACCATCACAAATTAGATGAAAGGGTGCGGAGAATCAATTAGTGATATGATGATTATTGAGAAGATCACTGCCACAAAAATTTGATTACATTGTGGTTGGAATTGCAGAATCGAGGGATATTGCAAAATAAAGATTAAGGAACTTCAGAGTTCCTTAAAGGCTTATGAGATGAGGCTGCTTGATAGAAATCCTATCAAGAATGAAGAACAAGCTTTGAAAGTACACCATTCCAGGAATGATGAGAAAAAGAAGCACAAGAAATGGAAAGGGAAATGTACAAAAGGGAGTTGGAAGGCTGATAAGGTCAAGGATGATCAAGATGACAAACCTATATCAGTGGAAAAGAGTGAAAGGTCAGAGAAGAGTTATCAAAAGAAGGATAAAAGAAGTGTTGAATGCTTCAATTGTCACAATTATGAACATTACTCGTATAAGTGTTATGCTGATAAGAGTAAGCGGAAGAAATATCAAGGAAAAGAGGCTTACATTGGACAAGAAGATTCAGATTTAGAGCCACTGATTTTGATGGTAACCACTTATGCAGAAAACTCTAACTGTCAAGCTGACTTGTGGTACCTAGATTCTGGATGTTCAAATCATATGACATGCCACAAAGAATGGTTGATCAATTTTTATGCAACGAAGAAAAGTAAGGTGAAGTTTGCTAATGATAACACGTTGAAGGTGGAAGGAATTGAAGATGTGGTTATTCGAAGGAAGAATGGTTCGCATGCTATAATAATCAGTGTGTTATTTGTCCCTGCCATGAAGTGCAATTTATTCAACATTGGCCAGTTGGTTCAAAGAGGGTTTACAGTAGTGATGAGAGGTTACAATAGAGTAGAGTTGAATGATGTAAACAAGAATTTGATCCTAAGATGCAAGATCTCCAAGAATAGAACTTTCTAGATCAATATGGAAGCTGTGGAGAATTCTCAATGCTTGTCAAATGTTAGCAAAAATCAAAGATGAAGTTTTGATGATGAACAGATTTGCACAAGTCAAGATCCATAAAGACAAATTGAAGATCTCTGTATTTTAT